TTTAGGATGTAGAGATCAAATGCCGTTAACACCCATTTTAATTTGTGAATTTTTTTTATGCTTGGGGCATTGATTTTATGGGGCCATTCCCTTCATCTTTCGATAATTCTTACATATTACTTGTCATTGATTATGTTTCAAAATGAGTAGAGGCCAAAGCTCCTTGAACTAAAATGCAAGTTATTGTAGATTTTGTCAAATCCTATATCTTTGTCAGGTTTGGAATACCACGAGCAATAATAAGCGACAGAGGAACTCATTTTTACAATCGAGTTGTAGGAATGCTTTTTAAGAAGTACCATCTCACTCACCGGATTTCTACAGCCTACCATCCACAAACTAGTGGGCAAGCTGAAGTGTCTAACAGGGAACTGAAGTCACTTTTTGAAAAAACAATCAATCCTAATAGGAAATATGGGAGTCTATGACTTGATGACGCACGATGGACTTATAGGACAACCTTTAAAACCCCATAGGTATGTCACCTTATTGCTTGATCTTTAAAAAATCTCATCAGCTTCCAGTTGAATTAGAACACAGGGCTTACTAGGCAATCAAAGGATACAATATGAAGTTAGAGGAAGCTAGAGAACACAAAAGACTACAACCGCAAGAATTGAAAGAAATTAGAAATGAAGCCTATGAGAATTCAAGGATTTACAAAGATAAGACAAAAGCTTTTCATGATCGAATGGTCTCTAGGAAGTAATTTCTAATAGGGGCAAAAGTTTTACTTTCTAATAGGAGATCTTTCTCCTCCATTTGTTGTGCCAAGCATCTTTTTCTCTCTCTTCATTGAATTTTGCTACTTGGTGCAAATCTAACAGCTTCCAATTTTTATAAATAGGGGCTCGTCCTTCCCATTTTCTCCACACTTCCATTCTTCCACCTTTCAAGAATTAGAGAGAGAGAGAGAGAGAAAAAGTGATCTAGAGAAAGAATGAGAGGAAGAAAAGAAGAACGGTATAGAAAAAATTATCAAAGTTTCGGTAAAGAATTTAGTATTTCTTTAAACGTCTTAAGGGGTATTTTTAGACCAAAAAAAAAGATTAAATTGATAATTTGTTATTTTGCTTTTTTTTGCATGCTTTTATGTTTATAGGTTTATTAAGTTGAATTGTTCTCGATTTTAAGGATGCTATGTGATTTATAGACACTTGATGATGTGTATATAATTAAAATAATATGAAACCGGTAAGGTTATCTTGAAAATAAGAGAAACAAAGAAAAAAAAAAGAGAAATATAGAATGAAGCATGAATGGTCTGAGTATCTATCTGTATTGACATGGATAATGCATCAAGTGTCTCGTTAGATCTTTTATCTCTAGGGGTATCGATTCCCCTAACCCCATCCGAGGTATCTATTTCCCCCTCCTCTATCTGGTATGGAAAGATGCATGAAGACTACTCCCTGTGGATGACGGTGTACCATCTGATGAGAGTGGTGATGCGAATATCTGTTAGGGGTCACCTTTGGTTAAGTATTGTCGTGACTATAAAATATCTTATAAGACCATTATGGTTGGTATGGCCGTGGTCATAAATTGTACCATGGTTTGACAAGTCGGAAATGTGTCTGAGCAAATTGCCATTATCTGTATCTGATCTGGTCATTCCATATGGGTAGTCGAAAATCTGTATTTGCCTTCAAAGATGGGAGTCGTAACGACTTCGTAAAGTATGACATGAAAATTTGAGAATTTATGATTTATTTAATTTTCTCTCTTTTCTGGTATGATGTGTTTGTTTTGATTATATTAATGTGATATTTTTCCTAATAAATAAATTATTTTCATAAGGTAAAATAAGTTTACGAAATAACTAAACAGTAAGTATTTACGTTGGAATATTTTACCTTTAAAACTTTACGATGTTATTTAAATATTTTTTTTCTTGCTGAGTATATGGAACTCATTCTTTCCATGCCCCCCCCCCCCCCCCCCGATGAAGAAGAGAATGAGGAATCACCAGTTGACCTGCCCATTGAAGTATATGAAGATCCTGTGGATCCACAAAACTTGAGTGCATGATCGTTCCTGCACTCTGATGAGTCCAATAGCATATTGAAAGAAGTAGCCCTCTTTTTTATTTTGACCTTATGTTTTGCATCCACTTCTGACCTTAGTTATATGTATGTAATTGGAACTCATATATTTGTAAGGGATTTGTATTAATCTTCTCCGCTGCATATAATTTTATCATGCACTCATAATTTTATTTCCGTATCTGACACTCACATGCCTTATTTAGCATTTGGGATGTCATAATTATTATATTGAAATATGGTTAAATTACTTAAAAATTGAAATAGAAATGGAATGCATGAATTAAAAAGGGAAGATGGTAGACAGATGGTTAGGGGTGCTCAGAGGTACAAGTAAGGTTTTGGAAAGAACATGATAGGGGGAAATGGGAAAAAATAGTAGAGTTAGGTTAAATTAGGATAGTTTTGGGGTTTTGTCTAAAAAAAACAAGTCAAGTGTATAATAAAACTTAACTCACCAAGTTGTCTAGTCTAAATCCAATCCATCTAATTTTCTTGGAGAGGTACTGGTATTGTTATTGGTTGGAGCCACTAGGCAATGGGTGTTGGTTATTGCGTTCCGTGTTGGAACAGTGGTACAGTGTTCCTTGGGAATCTGTACTGATAGCTATTCATGCTCTGGGGCCCATAACCATGAATGAAGGTGACTAGAATGATCTTGTAGGATGATGACCAGAGAGAAAGTGTGATTGCATGATTTTATAGGTAATATATTGTTATTGTTATTGATTATGTACCCCATCCATAGCTACTTGGATTCCCGTCTTGCCCTCCTTAAAAATAGATGGCAGCGGCTGCACGTATAGATTTATAAATAGTGAAATCTAAACTAAGATAATAAATTATACTAAAACTGTATTAGAAAATGAGTCAGAGTTAATACTAGGTGCGTGTGTTAGAGGATTGCATGTTATGTGACTTAATTGTTAGGTTTGATATGTATTATTGAAATATAGAAATGAGTATTAATAAAGAAATGAAAAGAAATGAGTACAAAATTGATAATTGGGACTGTATTATATTGGTAATATTATTGAAAATGTTTTCAAAAGAATTGTATTGTATGCACTATAAAAGTTTTTCACTATATGCATTAAACATGACTTTCAAAACATTAATTGTGGCACACTAGTACTGCTCTTCTTATTGAGTTTACTAGAACTCACCTCAATCTAGACTTTTTTTTCAAGTTAGGGAGCCTGAATAGGGTCAACAGTCAGATGTGGTATGAGGAGAGTTCCTTAGCCTTGGGTAGAAATGATGCAGTAAATGTTGATGTAAGTTTTGTTTTAAACTTTTGTAGTTTTAATTGTCTCATGTAATATGTTTTCACTTATGATATCATTTGTGGGATGTATATTACATGTAGTTCTACTGCATTTGATAATATTTCTCAGTCACTTTGTTGTGATATAAATGGTTGATGCCTGTTACCTTGGTGCCAGGGCTGGGACGTCACACAATCGCCTCAAATGGAAGCCAAACCATAAGTCACAACTGAAGAACAAACTTCACCTTGAGATGCCAGCGGCTCTATGATGGCCGACCAACACCATAGCTTTGCAGCCGACGTGCCCGACTCCCCGGCCTAAGAGCAAAACGCACAGAACCCTGGGAAGGGTAAGCACACTCTAGCACCTGCTGAATCCAAGCTACACAGTCGCCTCACTTTCCCAGTTAGTTCAATAAAGGAAATGTATGGGGAAATTTACAAATTACCCATCATGGCAGTAAAAAAAACCATTGACCTACTCCTGAAACTTTAAACATTAAAGATGGTGTATTTGAGTTGATTCAGTATATTGGTTGGGATTCTTATTTTGAAACTGACTATCCTGCATACATGGAATTAGTTACGAAGTTTTATACAACTTTTTAATTTGAGAAACTCACTAATTTCAATATGAAAACATCAAATCTGATTTCATTTCAATTAATGAGAAAAAATTTTAATTTTATAATCACTGAATTTAAGAGGCGTTTGGGTTCGAGAAGGATGTATCTCATTGCAATTTCTATGATGAATTTGATGTTGTTGTTGTCTATGCTGACTTTTGTGATAACCCACCGATACTTTTAACCGTAACAAATCTAAAAACCTATATTTGCATAATCCCTATATGAAATATATTCATAGGTTGCTAGCTTATTCATTTTTAGGTAAAAAAGATGCACTTAGCTTCCTATTAAAAACTGAAGTGTATTTTCTATGGTGTATGGTTCAAAAAAAAAGAGTGAACCTAGGATTTTGGTTAGTCTCGTAGTTTTCAAATGTCATGTCATTTAAAAGACTATCAATTTTAGGCTCCATCATCACCCGCGTTGCTATTTTTACTGATTTAATTGATCTCGAGGATAATAATTTCCACTCTTCTTGCACATTAAATGCATTGGAGTTGGGATGTCTGGATGACATGGGATTGCTACACCTTAAGTGTAGTATTCAATGCTTTGCCATTCTAGGTCCAATTTAAGTGATAATTAAATCAGTTGCTACCCCTACAAGAATGCCTGACTTTGGAAGTATTATTACTGTGCCTTCAGAGGATGGATGCACGCCTGACACGCCTCGAGAATTTAAGCCTTCAAATGACAAAAAAATTGAACAAGGTGAAGAAATTAACCCAAGCAGTAGCGATAACTTTGAGGGTCGCTTCTCAACCCTAGAAAAAATGATAACTTCTGATTTTGCCCCATCTCTAAGACAATTAACCAGGGGAATTCAGCTGTCCCTTCACTTTTTTGTTTAATTGCTCATTATTTACAACACATTGGGCAACAATGTGTAGTTTACTTTAAATAATTAAAAGCCAAAAAATGAAATAAAAATATAATAAACTCTAATAAAACGAAATTAAGGTGGAGAATTTTCATATAACCAATCACAGAAATAAAATGAAATTAAGATGTAGAAATAAAATTACTACGAAAACAATGAACTGCAGTTATTACAATCAGTAATTTTAAACCTCAGGGCACAAAAATGGTCTTTCAACTCATAAATAGCAGTCCTCTTTTGATTGGGTAATCAGCTATGAACTACAAACATACCAAACCTTCCATGAAGATACATAGAAGCTTCTAATAAAATGGAAAGTATGCATTTGCCAACAAGACACTAACCTCATCAAAAGGATGCCCCCCGGCCACTCTATTTGTGAAGAAACTTTCATAAAGCTGCCTTATGTAGAAACTGCACATCCAACCGGCAACCAACAATTCTTGTACCATTAGTAATCCATGGGTAAGCCAGTATCCAATACAGTCAATAGCCTTATCCCGACAAAAGATCAGATTATACCACTCAAGTAAGTACTTAAAGTGACAGCAAGCCTGTGATGATAAATGACCATTGACCATTGGCTAGTGAAGATGGAATATTGAAAAACAGATCGAAGCAAGAATATGGACCAACAAGCAAACAGACCAAAGCCAGTTTAATGCACAAGACTATCAACTTACACAGAAAATTAAGTCTGAACAGTTTGCATATATTCTAACCCTAAAGAAAGCCACCACCCGTCCATGTGCCATCAGAATTCCCATTATGACCAGCAGCTTTCTTATCAGATGCACTCTGGTAGAAGTTATCATACCCATCATCTTTAGCATCATGGTCATCCCAACCAGCCCAACCATCATCATGATGCGATGCTGACGCCTTAGTGGTATTGTCCTTCTGGTCCCAATCATCCCAAGAACTTGAACTATAAGAATTATTATAATGACCTGATGACGAC